GTAGAAGTATAACATATGTGACCATCAAAGCACAAACAAGGGAGGACGAATGGAGCTATACTGGAACACAATGTCTGTATTTTCCACGAAATAAGTTAGTATTAATCCAGTACAGATTGTATTAAACTAAGATGTACAGTTTAACCCTTGGAGCAATCAATAATAAAATAACTCAAAAACACAGTTCTAAAAAAAGAAACAAAGAATTAAAATGTATACAAGAAAATATAATTTAACACAGTAAGAAAGCAGTAAAAGATAAAGAGAGGAAAAAAGATACGAGATATAGTGAAAATAGCAAAGTAGCAGACACAAAGCCAAGCATATGAATAACTGTATTAAATGTGAGTGGACTGAACATTTCAGTTAAAATGTAGAAATTGTCAGGCCAGATTTTATCATTTTTAAAATGATAACTCATGCAAACAGTAAATAAAAGTGGGCCAAAGTGGCTATACCAGTATCAGGCAAATAGACCCTAAGACAAAAATATTACCAGAGAAAAAGAGACATTTAGTAATGATAAAGTTCTATTCATTTGGACGATGTAATAATTATAAAAGTATATACACTTAACAACCAATCCTCAAGATACATGAAGCAAAAGCTGACACACTTGAAAGGAAAAATACCCAATCCAACAAAATCGTTGAAGACTGCAATACCCTTCTCTCAATCACTGAAAGAAGAGTTTCACAGAATATCAGAGGTAATGTGCAAGAGAAAAACAGAACTGTTAACAAGCAGGACAAATCTGACACTCATAGAATGCTCCACATAACAGCAGCAGAATACACATCACAAGTAGAATATTCTCCAAGACAGATCAAATGCTAGACCATAAAACAAGTCTTAAAAAAATTAAAAGGACTGCAATTGTGCAACATATGTCCTGTGACCACAAGTGAATTAAATAAGTCAAAAACATAAAGAAACACGGGCAATCCACCAATATTTGGAACCTTCAAAACATACTTTGAAATAACCCATAAGTCAAAAAAAGAAATTATATGGAAAATTAGAAAATATTTCTAGCTTAATGAAAATGAAAGCACATTACATGTTAAACTGAAGAAATGCAGAGAAGTGGTGCTGGGGGAACAGTTTGAGGAATACTATCTTTCTGTGTTACTAAATCTTTCTGTTTGAGGAGGACACGAGTTTGTAAATGAAGTCTCAAGATTTAAAAGTATTGTGAGTAATTTTGTAACAACAATTGTAACGGAAACCATACATATTACTGATGTAGTCTTTTCCGTGATAACAGAAATTGTACTTAAATATTACACAAAATGAAACAGATCCAGGTCACACTACCTCGTAAACTTGCTGTTATAAGTAATTTAGCTCCAGACTCAATTTACAGCAAATTATATTTTATAGAAAATGAAATTAGAATGAGTTTACAAATCACAAACATAATTCATGAAAAAAAAAAATAAGCAGTGCTATCAGAAATCTCTTAGAGGCTAAGGTAAAGCTGGTTAACTTAAAATAGTACAATTACAACCTCCACTGTTTTCCACTTAGAGAATATGAGGAAAGATTTATAGATGTAGCCTTTCTTCATTCACCAAACAAAATATGAAATATGAAATCAGGTAAAATGCCACATGGCAAAAGTTCTAAAATCTTACCTCCATCAGAACAAAGAGCGCCGCAAAAAACAGAAGCGTTGCCCATTCCACTCTGTGTAGAATTATCTCAAAATCATGAATATCAGCTAAAATTAGCAACCAGATGGCACCCAGGATAGCAATCCATCCTGCAAATAAGTAAACAGACATGGAGATACAGTTCCACTGTTAACATACCAATTCTTTTTTTATCTTCTGGTTGCCTTTTTCTTTATCAAGAATAATTGTCACACTACAAACTGCATATATTTAAAATGCATATAATTTCTATTTGGATATATGTATACTCATGAAACCAACACTGTAATCAAGATAATGAACACGGCCACTGACCCTAGGAGTTTATTCATGCCTGTGCTCTTGTACCTCCTCTAGCTCCTCTTGTCAACCCCCACACTCCCAGCAAGCCTTCTTCTCTTTTCTTTCACTATAGATGGGTTTACATTTTCTATAAATGCAGGTTTTCTGTAAATTACACCATTGTTTTTTGTTGTTGTTTTGGGGGTTTTCTTGAGACATAGTTTTGCTCTGTCGCCCAGGTTGGGCTGCAGTTCGACTCACTGCAACCTCCACCTCCCGGGCCCAAGCTGGGGAGCCTCAGCCTTCCAAGTAG